GGGCATCGACGGCGGCGGCGGCGGCGGGATCGGCTGAAGGTCTACTCACCGGCGGCGGCGGCGGCGGCGGCGGCGGCGACGGCGGAAGAGGCGATCACCCCCTGCCGGACTCGGTGCTCGAAGTCGTCCTCGCCGGCCTCGGGTCGCCGAATGACGATGGGGAGGAGCTTCTCCTGTGCGCATACTGCTGCGCGACTCTGAGCCCGGCCGCAACGGAGTGCGGCGTTTGCGGGGCTCCGACTCCGGCGGCGGCGGCGGTGGCTGCTGCGGCGGCGGAGACGATGCCGACATGCAAGTGGAAAGCCTACCGCCTGGCCGAAGACGGGCGCCCTTACTACAGCGACGGCGAGTCCTCGGTGTGGGTCAAGCCCAAGGAGCTGGAGGATTACGAGGCAGCACTGGCCGCGGCTACGACGGAAGGAGAATCGGCCGCCACCGACGCTGCTGCTGCTGCTGCTGCTGCTGCTGCTCCCGCTGCTCCGCTTCCCCCCACGCCCCCGGCGGCATCGGCGGCCGCGGTGGCGGCACCCGTGCTTTCCGCCACCTCTGACGAGAACGGGGCAGCGGCGGCGGCGGCGGCGGCGGCGGTAGGGGGCGGGGGTAGTGGTGGGGCGCTCCCTGCAGGGGTGCTGGCCGTCGGCGACTTGGCAGAGGTGTGTTGTTGCTGAGCGACCGCAACGCACGGTTTTTTTAGGCAACCGGGTTATATTGCACGCACACAAAAACGCGCCCTCCGATACATAATTTCCTTTTTTCAGCTTGCCTTGGCTAGACGCATATGGTAGTTCACGCGCGAGCTCGGATGCGGGGTTTGTGGTTCGACCGCACCACCCTGATTGGATGGGTAGCTCTGGTTTTTGGCCCTGGTTCACACGGAACTTCAACGTTGAGACAAAACAAAATCAAGAAGTGATAGATCCCCCATGATTACTTTTTCTGTCACACGGGCGATTGGGTTATTTTCCTTCACCCTCTCGTCCCACACACCCTCTGGCGCCAGCTCGAGACCGATGCGTGGCCAGCCGTCAATTCTTAAGACAACCAAAAGTGACAACCCCCCGTTCCCGCCCCTCCCCGAACCGGTTCGCCTTTTTTCGCCGCACAAGGTGATGGCGAGGTCGAAACCGTCGCTTCCGGGGACAACGGCAGCGTCAGGCGCCGGGCGCGGCGGCGGTGGGCGCAGCGGTCGAGGCGCTGGGCGGGACGCCCACAACCCGGCGAAGATCGCACGTGCAGGCCTTGGCGACGGCGGCGCCGGCGGCAGCGGCAGGTCCCCGAGCGCTGGCGCCGCCGCTGGCGGGGGGGGGGCGATGTTCGGGTGGCCCCGGGGTGCGCCGAGATCGGCGCTGCCCTTGGTGAGTGCTTTTTTTTTTTTTATGTGGTCGACCGCGCTACCCGGCTGGCCAATGACAAAGGCGTCAGTCTCATTGCGGCTGAAAAAAAAAAAAATGCTCGGAAAGGCCATGATTTGTGGCCCGTTAGGGGGCGTCATGAGGGCAGGCTTTCAGACTTGTGCGTGTGCGTGTTGACGTTTTTTTGGGGGGATGATTATCTTTTACGGACGTCCCTGTCTCCGGCTGTCTCTGGAGATAAGATGTCCGGAGAAGTGAAGCCGCGGCCGCAGACCTCTGGGTGTATCCTGTCGAAATTGGAGGATACACCCGGCGCGCGTTGTTTGGGCACCGTGTGTTTAATATTCCGTGGTGTTCAATGTTTCGGCGTGTGTGACTGAATTTGCGTGGAAGGAAACCTGGGCTCGGTCCCTTTTGAGCCAACTACGCGTACAAGCGTGAGAAACAATGTAGCCTCACGGCAAACTGCTGCTGTGCATTGCTGTTCTACTACGACAACATTTCGACCCCAGGTGGTGATAGACGTGCCGAACGTGGCGATGCGGCACGGGCTCAACAAGAAGTTTTCCTGCACGGGTGTGCAGATGGCCGTCGAGTACTTTCGGACGGCGGGTCACCGCGTCCTGGGGTGAGACTCTAATTATTATTTTAATGTTGTCTTTTACTTCAAATCAGCGGTCACACCGTCTGAGCCGTTTGCTCCAACCCGTGGTCACACAGAAGGGTTCCTCTGCCTGAGGCCCCCTGCCCACCCCTGCTGCAGCGCGTCGCGTTCGATTTTTTATGCGAGGGGATCTCACGCTTAGCTATTTTATCTTTTTCCGAGATGCGTGAGGCCGGCAGGCCCACGACGTTTTCCAGCTGATGGGGGCAAGCAACGCGTGCTGTCTTGTGTTTACACCACTACACGCGTTCTCGGCAAAACAACCAGCAGGAGGAGACACGCGGCACGTTTTTTATTCGGTACTGCTGCTGTTCACAGCAAGAGTTGTTGGCTGGGATTGTACCCGGGCGGCTCAGGGAGAGAAGCACTATAAAAGCACGGTAGGCATCGTCTGCAACGGTTGCTGTCAGAAAAGGTTGCTAAAAATCACACCTTACTCCCCGCAAACCGTGACGCCTCCCTTGAGGTTTCTGCCCGACTACTACCTGGACTTGAAGCGGACGAACGGGTTGGAGAGGGCCAAGAAGCTAGGCGTCGCGGATGTGAGTCACTTCGTGGGTGCATATCCCGGTGCATCAGCGGGTACGATGAACAAGCCGTGCAAACAGTGCCAATCAGTTGATTTTGAGGGATGTTGCTGTTGATGTTTTTCTTTAGTCCTCAACCACCGCCTCTACAGCCCAGCGAGGGGTTTTGTTTTCGTCCGACACACGCATGGATTTGATGAGTAAATATTCTTGGTTTTGTTTTCCCCGCCCGTTCCCCTTTGGTGCGCAAAGAGTTTGCTCGCACCGCCTACAGTGTGTTTCTCCTGTGTGTGTGTGTGTGTGTGTCCCGGTCTTCATTTCGTGGAACACGCTGGTTTTGTTGCGTTGTTGGAAAAAAGATACCGCCTAGTCTTGGTGGTGGGCGGGTGTTTTGTGAGGGACAAACCATATGAAACTTGTGGTTTCTCTCGACTGTGTGTGGTGTGTGGTGCTTGTGGACCGACCAGCCTCTTCCCAAGGAAGCCATTTTGGGGACTAGAAACGTCCAGCTGCTGAGGCGCGTTAGCCCGCCTCGGGCCGTCGCCTTGGCCCTCGCGCCTCGCCAGCGGGCGCTTTTCCGCATCCTTACAGCTGTTGATCTTGCCGGCCTCCTCGTCTATGCTACTCCAACGCAAGTACTACGTTAGCCAATTTTTTGAAATTTCGAAATGTTTTCCTCTCCTGATCCCGTGTGGGGAGGGCTCCCTGCCTCCCCTCCTATGCTAGGCTATTCTGACGTTAGCCTGGCTCTAAACATCTTTATCCCCGTGTGCGACAGGTTAGCGCTACCCGTCCCCCCTCCAGTGTTACGCTACTCCAACGCCTGCACGTTAGCGTAGCTCTAAATGTGTTTTTTGTTGCCTGATCCCCTTGTGCCTTAGGTGAAGGCTTCCCGTCTCCCAGATGACGTTCAGCTGCTGCAGCGCCTTGTGGATGATGGGCTGATCGTGTCCACACCGCCGCAGGACTACGACGACTCGTACTGCATCAAGTACGCCATGGCCAGGGACGGGTAAGAGATAAAATAGACTGGGAGGGGGGGAAGAAGGGAGGGAGGGACAAGACAGAAGACAGAGAGAGAAGGCGACAGACAGACAGACAAGAGGCAGACAAAGAGGCAGACAGCGACAGAGAGAGAAAAAGACAGAGACAGAGCCGAGAGACAAGACAGACACACAGACAGAGATGGTTGCACTGGCTGTACGCCTGAAGCAAACCCTATCGTGGTGAATTTCCTACCCGTGCAACCCGTGAGATACACAAAAAAGCGTGCCGGTGTTCGTTCTGTTCGAGCAAGCCACGGACAGCCTGTTGTTGCATAACTTGTCGGGTTTCGCGTCCGTCCCGCGTTTGGCAGCGTCCGTTTTTTTTTTTTTTTCGCGAGAAGAGCATGGACCGTGCGCCATCTATATCCTCTTCCCTGTCTCCCATCCTGTCCTCCCTCCGTCTTGTCTCGCCCAGAGACCAGCCACTTTTTCTGCGAGGTTGATATAATATAATAGTAGTCCTGATCCTATCGGCACCTCGTAACTAGCCCGATCCATACCAGTAGTCGTTTCGCTCACGCCGGTCCTGATCGTCCTTCGCTCCCCCCCCCCCCCTGGTCCGGGGAGAACCCGGCGTGCTCCGTCCCGGCTTTGTAGGGATGCGAGGTCAATGGTCTAATGACTACGGCATGCACGACTATGAGTACCCCCCCCCCCCCCCCCGGAAAACCCCAAAACCCCTGGCCTTTTAAAACCCCGGGGTTGGGGGGGGAAAGACCCCTTTTCCCCCCCCCGTAAAAGCCTTCAAAGCCGAAAAAAGGGGGGAGCGGCCCCGGCCCTTGTTAAGGCCCCCCCCCTCTTTTACCCCTTTTGGGGGGAAGGGTTTTTTCCCCACCCCGG